TTGTTGTTCCTTCTGATTATACACCTCATCAACGAAGGAAATTTTTTGCTGATCTGAAATATTATTTCTGGGAGGAACCATATCTTTTTCGTATTTGTGCTGACCAGGTTGTTAGAAGATGTGTTCCCCTTTGTGAAGGAGCTGAAATTCTTAAACATTGTCACTCAGGACCAACCGGGGGACACTACTCTTTCAACCGGACAGCCCGTAAGGTCTTGGAATGTGGTTTCTTCTGGCCCACTTTGTTTAAAGATGCTCTAACGTTTGTGCAGGAATGTGACAGGTGTCAACGCACCGGGGCGGTTACCAAGAGGGATGAGATGCCCCAGAATTTTATATTGGCTTGTGAGGTATTTGATGTTTGGGGCATTGACTTCATGGGACCGTTTCCGGGTTCTAAGGGTAATAAATTCATTCTCGTTGCTGTGGATTATGTTTCTAAGTGGGTTGAGGCCGAAGCTCTGCCCACGAATGACGCTAGAGTTGTAATTCGTTTTCTGAAGAAATTGTTTTCTAGATTTGGAGTGCCACGAGTTTTGATAAGTGATAGGGGCACCCACTTTAGGAATGATCCCATGACACGCCTTCTGGCAAAGTACGGGGTCACTCATAAAGGGGGCGTCCCATATAACCATCAAACTAGTGGCCAAGTTGAGAATTCGAATAGAGACATTAAGACCATCCTTGAGAAGACCGTTGAGACCCATAGGAAGGATTGGTCCGATAAGTTAGATGATGCGCTGTGGGCATTGCGTACAGCGTATAAGACACCCATTGGCACTACTCTGTTTCACCTGGTTTATGGGAAGGCGTGCCACCTTCCGGTAGAGATTGAACATAAGGCCTACTGGGCCTTGAAAATGCTGAATAAAGATCTTTCATTGGCGGGTCGTGAGCGGCTTTGGAAGCTCAACGAATTGGATGAGTGGAGGCTCATGGCCTACGAAAATTCTAAGATTAGTAAGGAGCGTACCAAAGCCTATCATGATTGGCATATCAAACAGGGAAAAGAGTTTAGTAAAGGGGATCAAGTTCTGTTGTTCAATCCCCGAATGAAAATTGTTAAAGGAAAGTTGAAGTCTAGATGGTCCGGTCCTTTCATAGTAAGCGAAGTTTTTCCATACGGTACAGTTGAGATAGACCATCCAGAGAAAGGCCATTTTAAAGTGAACGGCCACCATCTGAAGAAGTACTACGGAGGACCGCTAGACCGCGAACGCGAGGTGACTGTCATCCAAGATTTTGAGAGATGAGTGCGTAGTTGCGTCGGGCAAACGACGTTAAAAATAGCGCTTCTTGGGAGGCAACCCAAGCTTATTTCTGCACTTTTGTTTTCTGCATGTTTTTTGTTTTTGTTTTGTGTGTTTTTTGTGTTTCTGTGTTTTGTTTTGTAGCTCAGGTCTTTTCTGGATGATGCGCCACAGTTTACATTGACTCAGTTTAATTCTGCACCAACCAGCGCCTTAGGGAAGTTCCTATTACTCTTACTCGCATGTGTTAATTGTTGACTTGAGTTGAAGTTGAGCACGTGTGACCCTTTCCTCTTTACCCCTTTGTGCATAGTGCATTTTTTTGTCATCGAGGGCGATGCCAAAGTTTAAGTGTGGGGGAGTGAATTGGGCAGTCGGGCAGTAGTTGTTACATGTGATTATTAGAGTTAGCATGCGCAGGTGTTAGTTGTATATTCATAGGAAATTCATGTCAAATTTTTGAAAATTTTTCTTTAAACTGTGTCTTTGTGAGCTGCTTAGCGTTTTGACTATGCTTTTAAAATGTCCTTGAAATGTTTAGGCTTAAATTGCTTGCACTATAATCTAGTTGTTGAAAGGATGAAAGCATTAGTCACCCATTGAATGAATTCATAAATTTTCCATCCCACCTGAAAAAGTCCTTTAGGAGAAGCCATTTTGAGCCTAACTATTCCTTGTCTACCCAATTAATTGAGCTCCATAGCCAAATGGCCTGTTTTCTTACCCGTGAATATTTCTGACGTAGTCTTCATGTTTAGGGAACTAGGGGATGAATTTGCTAAGTTTATGGAATTTTGTGTAGGAGCCAATTTTGGCATTGCTCCTATGCCCCAAATGGGGTAAGAGCAGTCACTTTTTAGGAACTTGATACTTTCGAGGATTGCATTGTAGGCATGGATTCACTTTGATTAAATGAACTTTAATTGCTATTTTTCCTTGGTGAGGCCGAGATTAGAATGGGGTAATGTCTAGTGAGAATCCGAAAGGTGAAAAATTAGTATAGCTAGACCTCTTACCTTGCGAAAAAGAGAATGGGAGCCCGGGTCAAAAAGCGTAAGTGTTTTACACAATAAGATGAGACTTGGGTATCTTTCGAAAGAAATGGCGTTCTCGTGCCAACATGACAAGGAAAACTAAACATAATTAATAAACTTGGAGGCTATTGAAAATTAGTTTTAGTTCTCCGCGTACTTCAAGTATACGTCAAAGCACCAACGTGCCGCGGCGGTTTAGCTTAGTTGTACACCATGTCTACTCTTTGCATAGGTTTAGATGATTGTTCCTAAATTGTGGCCTACTGAGTTCCTTGATCCTAAGAATAGCCCTGAAATTCCTGAATGCATTAAGTCTTTGTTAGAATATTTCCATCTCTCAAAAGAAAGGGACCGTTTATTACCTTTCACCGTTCACCATCACCCTCACAAGTCCTTCTGATTAATAACTAGTTTATTTGTGTATGCTGTCATTACTTTAAGGATGTTGTGAATAATTTTGTCAAATAGTTTAGCTTGAGTACAAATATGTAGTTTAGGGAAGAATTTTCCTGGTTTAGATTGTCTGTTATGTGAATATCCCTTTAAGTACGTGTGCATGCTAACTGTTTTGATTTCGTGTGGTGATTATCGTAAGTCCCATTGTTCGATTTGCTTGAGGACAAGCAAAAGCTTAAGTGTGGGGGAATCTGATAAGTTCGTATTTCAACACGCTCTTAATGCGTGTTGGAGTCAGATTTTGATGATTTCTCTCCCTTTGAGGCGTCATAAGTATCATATTTAGCTCAAGTCATGTTAGTTGGGTGTTGGAACGAGTTTTGGCATTTTTAGATATGAAATCAAGTCTTTTAGGGCCCGGTATCGGCGCATCAAGGATTGATCGGGATGAGTTAAGGAATGTTCGAGAATGAATTCAGAGTTTTGAAGGCCACCAGGAGATTCAGGATTAAGATTTGATGAAGAAAGAGTTGTTCGATTGATCGCGGAGCCAAACGAGGACTTGAACGGGAGAAAACGAAGAATTCAGAACAAAAAGGGCCACGCACGACCGTGCGTGCAAGGACGCACGCGTGCGTCCAATGAAGAAAACGAAGACCACCTTACTGCCAGCCACGCACGCGTGCGTGGCTAGGGACGCACGCGTGCGTCCCCCTTTTTTATGCGGCCGTCTGTCGGACGCACGGACGCCACGCACGCGTGCGTGGTGCCGTGCGTACCCAAAATCTGTCCTAATTCACCCCAAATTGCCTTGTTTCCTATATATACCACCCCCATAACCCTAATTAGTGGGGTGGAAGTTTAGAGAGAGATTAAGGACGAGATTAGAGAACTTTTTCAGCCAGGTTTATCAATTCCTTAACATTCTTTGTAAATTCCTACTTTTTTATTAATGACAATTAATTCTATCTATCCCAATTCTATTGATTCTTCAATTATGAATAGGGAGTAGTTTTAATTAGGGGTTTGGGATTGATGAAGGGGTTAATCATGATGTATGGCTAGATTCTTGATGGTTTAATTGCATGAATGCCGTTTAATTTGTGTTTGAATAATTTAATTGATATCTTTTGTAACCTAGAATGGCCACTAGATTTACAATTGCTTATAGAATAAATTAAGAGAGATCTAATTTGTTCTAGGACACATTCACACACTTAATCGTTCGCTAAGAGATTAGTAGCGATTAAGGGGCCGTAAGCTCGTTCGTCTTGGCAATAATTTAGGATCCTGTCGCATGAGAGGTCAGCCTGGTCCCCGAAATTATTGTACTCTACGCCGCGAGAGCGGTAAGAATTTAGTATTGATTAGCTAGGCTCAATTAAATTAAATTCATGTAATTAGGCCTGATCTGCCAAAAATCTGATTACCCCGGAATCAATCCCTGTTCCCTTCGTTGTTAATTAAGAAGAACCCAATTATTTACTTTTAATCGTTTATTTGCAATTTTAGTTTTCTCAAGCAACAAATTCTCGCACGACCGCATTTGTTTTATTTATTTGTTTTTATCGCTGATTTTAGTTAATCTTTAATTCCCTTTTACCGTCCCTGTGGAGACGATACTCGTACTTTCACCGCTATATTACAATCTTTTTAAGTGCGAGAAAACTCACATCAAACATCCAAAAATGGAAAAAGTGGGACAATTATAGGGGGCGGGAGGGAGTACTGTATTTGTACATAAAACAAAATTCCAAAATAGGACTGCCATATTTTTATTCCCGAAATAGGACTAATTACTACCATATTTTGGCAGTACCAGACTTCAAACGTGTCAGTATTTTCTAAATATGGCAGTAATTAGTCCTATTTTGAGAATAAAAAACATGACAGTCCTATTTTGAATTTTTGAAACTGTTTTAGTCCTATTTCGAGAATTTTCCCAGTAATAAACAAGTGTGTTTCTTATGACTCACGGGTAATAAGACAAATAGGATAGCGCTCAAGCTCTGATTTGGGTATCCCTAATTGAGTGTTGACTTAGTGGCTCACGAGTACCTTGCAAGTGGTTTAATTCATTTGAGCCCATAATCCAAGCCCTTAACGTGTTAAGCCCATATCCCAACCCCTTAAATTAACATCTTAAGAAAGATCTGTAATAGTGTTCTTACCATATCTCCATCTTAGCACTCCTTGTATCCTTCCTTAATGTGTATTTCTTGGAGGTACCCCTCATCCTCGAAGATTTTTGAGCTATGTGTAGTGTTGGATTTTAGTGTCTCATCAAACATAAAAAGTTATCATAACATCATTAAAAAAATTGAAAGCAAAAGGAACACCAATTATATTTATTCACTAGACAAGTGTACGATGGACGAAAGAAAGATGTTTTTAAGAGACTAGAATACATACTAAAGAAGTGTACATCTAGGAGGACATTAAACGTGTACATGATAATAAGAATACATAATAATGTGACACATATTCATCAAGTCATGAAAAATATGACATTGTGATCATCACACAATGAATATGATTTTGTAGCAATACCTTTTTACAATGTAAATGCATAATATTTCCATAGACTTAGTTCTATGAGAATGCACACTCCCTCCCACCATATTAAATGGAGTCTCACACTTAACTGATGCATCTTAATCAATAAGACTTTCCTTGGTCAGCCATGACAAAAACCTGAGCTTGAACTTTCACATCTGACTCGATCACAACTCGGTTGTTCGACATATTTCTCAAGACATGCCTAGGGAAAGAGTTCCCATCAGGGATAAACATGTATTCCACATGTTGAATGAGATTTGGGAAGAGAAGAGTTGGGCTGAGATCCACTTCCCAGCTAAGTTGGCTGCCATTGATACTCCCCCTTCCAATTGTGGATTTAAGGTTCATTCCATGATCAACGTTATTCCTATCAATCGTTACTTGATTAATCTGGTTAAATCCCCCATCCAGCTGAACAATATCTGTGTTATTTTGTGTTCCGTTGAATATGTTGTCCACTACATTGACCCCGCTGATCACCCCTTTGACGGACTTGAAGCTAATAAAAGCACCTTTGTAAAATAAGCAGCCAGAGATATGAAGCTGGACAGGGTCCTCGGCTATTATCCCTGTATATCCAAAGTAGGAATTCACTATCCTGGTTTGTGTTAATCCGGGGAGCTTTATGTAAACTCCGGTGCCGCCAGATCCGGTGGCCTTATTGTAACAATGTACGCCTGTCAAAACGTTTGCTTGGCCGGCAAGCTTGATTCCGATAGATGCCGAGAAAATCACGACGTCCGTCACCGCATTATCGTTCCCCCACAGATCTATCGCCGTCCCATTTACATCCTGTTCCCCGGGATCGCCGCCGGCTGTGATGTGTTGACCGAGGAATGAATTTCTGATGTAGGTTTCGTGACCGCCACTGACTAAAATCCCAATTGTAGTGAAATGAGTAATGTAACAGTTGTCAATAGAGACTCTTAGTGACTTCACCACTTGAATGCCTCCTCCCCTGAAGTTGGAATCCAGCAATAGATCTCTTAATGTTATGAACTCAAAATTGTATGGTAATTTGCCTTTGCTGGACAGCGGATCCGATAAGTCCATTAGGTATCCTTTCACCGGAAAGTTATTCGACGCCCTGAGTGTTCCTCCATGAATCTATTTTACCAAATTTATTTTATACGGAGTATTAGAGACTAAATAAATTAAGAGTGAGTTTTTTTTTCTTATAATAAAAAACAAAACTAAAGCGTTACCACGAGATTTCCTAGTCCGGCTGTCGGGAGCTGAAGCGGTCGGGTGATAACATAGACCCCGCCATCGAGATCAACCCTTGCGCCGCCGAGATTATGAATCTGGTCATAAAGGAATCCACTCGGGGCGGACGTCGCATCCTTTATTGCTCTCAAAATCCCATCTGTGCTATCATTTTTGCCGGTCGGATCTGCACCGTATGATGTCACGTGATACACCCGTGCGCTTTCTTCACCCTACACCCCAAGTAATTAATACACAAACAACAAGAATTACCCTATAATTGAAGCTAGTTAAATGGAAGGATATAGAGATTAACACAAATTAGACTTTGCACGCCGTTTTTAAAAAACTTTGTTTTTTGCATCTCAACCCCTTTTGAAAAGATAGGGATATGTTGAAGGCCAACGTAGTTCTTAATGAAGAACATTTTTGTCTTTTCATACAAGTTGAGATGCAAAAACAAATTTTTTTAAAAAATTGGGTGCAAACTTAAATTACCCCTATTATGTTCTTTATCTAAATATATAGGTAAAAACTACCGAAAGGTGTTGAAGTAATAAAATATTATGAGTATATATATATATATATATATAAGATTTTGGATTCTTTCTATTACTTTGTATTGGTGACTTTGCCAATTTTGAATTAGGTGAGAAATAAGAAAAATAAAACTTGTGTGATTGATATTTGTCTAATAGGCAGAACCACAAATTTGTTGCTTTACTTGAAAATTTACAAGATTTTTTGGACAACCAGAAAAGAAAGTTGACAAAATCCAATGAGACTAAGTGAATGGTATGTTGATAGAACTTGTGGTGTCAAATTAAAGCCCAATTGGTCTGTCGCAATGGTGTAGACCCCAGCTCATGAATGATTCAATGATTTCCAAGTATTTTCCACATTAATAATATATGAACTAATAAACTACTACTCCATGAGAGATCTTGGTTTACTTATTTTAGATAGGGAAAAACATTAATATTGTCAAGAAAATAACTATGTTATACTCTAAACATACTAGAGAAATCTCTTAAAAGAATATGAGGAATTGATAAAGAGAGAGTTGAATAGTTACATATGATGAGTTTGAAGTAAGCTGATGCGTTTGCAGCACTTTATCCTTCATACGTTTGATATTGATGCGGTGATGATCATTTCCTCCATGAACATGATTTGCATTGCTGGTGAAGAAAGCAGCGGTTGTTAAGAAAACTATAGAAAGAAGGGGAAAAGGAAGCCCAGAAGTTACACCCATTTTTCCTCAATGGTGTCAGATCGATCGATCAAAGGATTACTTAGATTAGCTTGCTTTGGTAATGGGAATGAATTAGTAGCTGATTAATCTAAGCTAGCCAGTTATATTGAGATAAAAAATGGTTGAGATGTGAGGAAATAAAGTAAGGTTAAACTAGCTAGGTACAAAGATGAACCAGAAAAGTAAAAGATTGAAAATTTGTTAGAGTAAAGCAAAATATTCCATAGGCATGAGAGAATGTATTATTCATCCCACTACTATACGTTAAACCTTCAATGCGCATTTGGTCATCGCCTTCCAAATGCCGTTCTTAAGACGCATAACACATTTCTTGAGACTGCATATGATGATATGATGCTTTAGCGTGCTGGAAGTCAATAAAGTTTGCTTTCCTAAATCAAATGCACTCCACCTCCTAGGATCACTTGTTACTTTGGGTAGTCATCATATGAGTCTTTTTTCTGTTTGTTTGATGACCAGAACCTATCTCGTGTGTACACAAGCGGAGCCCGATCACTTTGCGACCAGCGGCAGACCCAAAGAGGGGCAAATCCGCAAATGACCTTTCTTCCGGGAATTCTTGTGTCCGCCGTTGTTTACGACATAACCCGGGTACTAATGCTCACATACCGAATGTGAAAGTGACACACTCGCATACGAACGTCCCACCGGTTAAAACGCTTCAAGCACCACCCCGTAAAACCATGGATGTTGTCTTGAGGATCTTGAGTTGCTTGCGGAGTAGCGGAGTAGCTGCCAATCCATGCTTGGACTGGTCACCATACCCTCTAGGACTCTACCATTTCTCATGCATGACCTTGACCTGTATAGTCGTTCCCACAAACCAAAATTCCCACTTTGACTATTCGGTATTCAAAAGCTGATTACTTTACCATTTAATCATCTAAAAACTATACCAATACTGACATTTTCATGAAAATTGTCCATCTTGAATAATTAAAAACACTTGATCATATTAACTACGGAGTATTTTTTATCAATGGGGTAAGTTGGACGGTGATTTTAATTAAATTTATACTCTTGAAAATATTTTTAACAAACTACTCCATTTTTCATATTATTAAATTTAACAATATGCGATATATCAGATGATGGATCAAATTAAATAGAAAAAATTAATGATGCCATTGAATGTGCGGGGAGATGTGCACTTCAGAGTGATTCACTTTTTCTATTAATAAAAAAAGTTACTACCTCAGTTCCATATTAGAAGTCTTCTTTAGTTTGACATAATTATTAAAAAAGTGGTTGAAAAGCAAAAATTATAATTGAGATTTAAATGTAATAAAGTGAAATGATAAGAAACGCATACCCAATATTTCTTTCCAAAAAGTGAACCGTGAAACAAGACAATCATTTTGGGATAATACGACGACTCATATGGAACGAATTCTTTAACTTTTACTTTTTATAAATCAAATTTCATTTTGAATACTACCAACTTTTTCTATTATGCATTTTCAATATAATCTCTATAATTAATCATTTCTCTAAAGTAAAAGCAAACTTACTCCTTAACTTGGGTTACAAATATTTGTTCTGAAACAGGAAGAAATAAGGAGTCGATCCCAAGAAACACAATGATTTGGCAGGATTAACAGTTCAATCCGCATTTAACCCTACAAGTCTACAACTTAGCCAAGAAACTAACAGATTCATTCTTTACAATGGTAGGGGGGTGAGCCAACTGTTGCAGTTGATGTACAACGTGTGACATTCTGGGGCGCATGGACGGAACATGTTGTGTGCAAGAGTATACAAGGTCTACTACTTTCTGAACTGCTCCTACTTCCGGAACCTGCGAGGAAGAAGATGATGATGATGATATAAGAGGATCCAACAGATCCATGTAATGATGGGCTTGGACCAGGGGCGTGGCCCACTCAAATATACTCTGCCAACCGACTGAATCAACGAGTTGAGCAGGTCTACGACCGCTAACAATCTCAAGCAAAAGCACTCCAAAGCTATAGACATCGCTCTTTGTGGTAAGCTCATTTTTGTAAACAAACTCCGGAGCAAGATATCCGTGGGTCCCACCAGCCATGACCCTCCTCTCCTGCATTACTTCCCACGGGACAAATTTGGATAAACCGACACCCATGAGATGAGCACCAAAGTCTTCATCAAGGAGAACATTACTTGCACGGATATCCCGGTGAACTACTTGAGGCTTCACCTTGTCATGCAGAAATCTATCACAATTCACGGAATAAATAAGACATACCCCATACACAAAATGAGTTAGGAAAATAACTAAATAACACACAGCGATATATATAGAAAGAACTCTCATCGCCGGACTACTACACTCTCAGTCCCATGACTATTAATAGGTCATTTTGACTTGTTGCCCCCAACTCTCATTTTCCCCACAGTAATCCATTCAGTATGAAAGTGTTTATGGAATTAGCCATGTTACATACATGCACAACTTTTGAATTGTAATAAGGCCCAACTCTTATAAATCTTTCATCCTATTGGTAAGACTAAATTCAGCATACTTAACAAGTTTATAACAGTTTGGAAAAATGACATTAAATTCAATGAAAAATAATTTTTGAGACGGGGCTTAATCTGAGGTTTCAGCTGACCCTTAACAAAGGAGCAAAGCACTTACGCGATTCCTTGAGCAAGAGAAGTGGCAATGCTCATCCTCGTGGTCCAGTCCAAACACCTGCCCCCTCTAGGAATATGGTGTAGCCACCTGTCCAGGGGTCCATTTGATATAAACTCATACACAATATAGCGATCACTGTGATGGTAGCAGCAACCTTTGATCACAACAAGATTTGGATGATGAAGTCTTGCCGCCCTTCCAACCTCGGAATAGAACTCTTTTTTTTTCTGAAACCCAGACCTCTTCAATCTTTTCACAGCCACCTTAGATCCGTCAGGGAAAACCCCACCATAAGTACCACCTGTTTTGGCATCCCCAGCAAGACGATTTCCTTCACTGAAATTCTTAGTGATTGACTTTATTTCCTCACGAGTGAAGATTTTCCATGATGGAGGAACTAGTGCTAATTCAGCACAGGATCTCTTACGCCTTATGCTTCGTTTAAATATAAGAAGCCATGCTACAACAGCCATAGTACTGCAAAGAATTAGGCCACTCACAACCTCGAGAATAATTAGATATTCCCGGTGACACCGCATGTGGTGGCACTTGCTCCCTGACATTCCCCACATGTTTGAATGTTAGAATAACAACTTAGCATGAATGCTGCCAAATTCATGCATAATACTACTATAATATAATACTATCCTCCGCTCCATAAAAGTTGCAACAGTTTGACTTTCACGTTTGCCAACGCGCAACTTTGACTGTAATTATATTTATTTACGTATTAGTAAACATTAAAAAAAGTTAATATATTGGAAATTTACATTAATACAAATTTATTAATATTTTATACATAATATTTTTATTATATACATTATTAGAAAATCGTAGTCAAAGTAAGGTGTGTGAATAGTGCAGAAATTACAATGTTGCAACTTTTATGGAACGGAGGAAGTATAACATAATGAAAGCAATAAAAAATGAGATCTAAAGCATCGATTGCAACTTATTATGAAGTACATGATCTGTCTCGCTTTATATGCCTTACTTTGTTCTTTGGTTTGTCCCAAGATAATGCCCACTTTCTTGATCTGAACACCACTAACTTTGTACTTTTTCCAATTCACCTCTTTTTTTTTCTTTTAAATAATTGAAATGATTGGTTACACTTGATGGAGAGCTTGGTAAAATGATCTTGCTTTCATTAAAAATTGTGCTAAAAGCAAATGTCCCTTATATTTGGGACAGTGTAATATATACTACGTACTCTGTAATAAATACTCCCTGTCCCAAAAAATAGTTTTGGTTCATCAAGGTACAAACTTTTAGATTTTGGTAAGGCAGCTCTTGTAAATTATGAATCCTTGATATCTATTTTCATATTTATTTGCTTTAACCTAAATGTAACTTGTTTGGGACAGTCTTTGGGGGGAGGGTACATCAAATTTAATGAAACTAAGCTTGTTTTGTTGAAATAAGACCTCTTTAGGACAAAAATAAGTGCAGAAATATGACAATTTTCTGGAGTAAGAAGCATGGGTTTACATCATAAAGTAATAAGTAATAGCATTGAAGTTTACAAGACTGTACCAAGAGAAAAAAAATCCACGTCTTTGTCAGAATTTTCTGAAAGATAAAATATTCTTTTAAACAAATTAAAACCACTTAAACACCGTAATTCATAATGCAGGCATAGCAGAAATAAACATGAAAATAAATGTGTGAGACACATTGCGCCCTGAGCTGCAAGTATCAAAGTTCAATTTACAAGGTTGTAATCTGAGCATACCTGCATTAAGCATGCAAATGAATGGGTGAGACACATTGCAACTCTGAGTTATGAGCTCAGAAGTTCTATTTGTCAGTAATGTACAGAAGTCAACTGCATTAAGGCTGTTGCATGGAGAATTCCGGCAATTTGAGTTGTCAGGCATGTTTGGAGTGAGAGTCCCATTCCAATCGGACGTACCTTCAGACCATTTCCAACCTAAACCCCCAGTGGTATTGCTGCTCTTTCCACCAACCCAACACTTCTTAGACACTTCACCACAAAGCTTCTGAAGAAAATGAAGCTCTTCTGGGGATGTTATTGCCGCTAGTGTACCTCCAGAAGATTTGCAGTAAGTCTCAGATTTATCCCATGAGTCTGAGTGTGATATATATTTGTAACACTTTTTACCATTTGGGGAACTAAACCAATTGGGATCACACGATTCTGTATGACAATAAAAAACGGTTGTTATTTCTTTAGACACAAAAACGCCATTTTACAGAAATTGATAATGAACAACCCATTAAATAATTATAATGTACAATTCAGGCACACCCGAAGTTACTTCGAATAGGTTTGGGTTAAATCTGGAAAAACATTACTGCACAGAATCCCTAACAAACCAAGATTTCCAAATTGTGAGATAAAAGTTTTTTTGACTATTGGTAGCAGCATATTCTAACTTTTAGAACGGCACCAGTTGGTTCAATACAAGGGGACATTCGAAAATATCAGATGCCTTAATAATTCGAATTAACTTTCAATTATTTCTTAAGATCAGAAGTGTGCTATTCTTTGATTTTTTTCCCAAGAGAAACATTGCCTAAAAGACATATTCATTTTCAAGCCTTGTGGCTTATCTCCTATAATAAGACCCATAATCACCAAAGTACTAGACTCTAGTTTATAGCATGAAAACATATGATTATCTCTAGGCACATATGTGGAAAGCATTAGAGTGGAAGGCCTTCTAAAGTCTAAACATAATAACATATAGCCAGATTTTTTTAGATATTTACTCCATACAAAGAAAATGTTGTTGCTAGACTAATTCAAGATAACCTAACAGATACAGTTTCACTTGGCAAATAAAAAAGGAAATGAAAATCTAACCTTTACCATAAGCTAGGTTCCGAGAGGAGTTAGAAACCTGAAAAGGGAAATGCAAACCCAAATAAAAACGCAATAATCTTCTAACTACTTCGGTTACACATCAATCTCAGCCTATATGCACAAATTGCATCACTATTTTCTAATATTTCTGCAGAGTCAAAGAGAATGCAAATAAAGAATTAATGGGATTGGTATTGACTTACCGAGTAGGAATCCCCAGACTGAAGCAGGAGACATAAGATTGCGAGTAACAAAGAATGTAGGAACCAGTTCAGCATTTCGAAGAGAACAAAATGGGATTAGGGTTTCCTCATTAGCTTTAAATTTCACACTTCTAAACTGTGTGTTGTGAGGTAAGAAGAGTTGGGTGGTTGGTTATCTGACTTTATTTCTCGACTCCCACTGTGACTGTGAGACAGTCACCTTGTCTTCCTGGCATTCTTTCCTACACCCTCTATATTCTTCCTTTCTTTTCGAGTGTGGAGTCGGGCTGTATAAATGCTTTTGCAAAACAAGTAATCAAGGTTAAGAATGTAATTTGTTGGTCTGGTCTGCTCTGGTCTATTTTGATCTGGTCTGATCTGGTCTGAAATTTTATTTTTTATATTTTTTGTCTAAAGAATTTATTTTTTTATATATATTATAATCCATAAATAATCATATTTTATTCATTTATAATTAAAAATAATAATAGTAATAATACTAATAATACTAATACGGAGTAATACTAATAATAACAATAACAATGATGATGATAAAATATGGTCTGATCTGATCTGAAATTTTATTTTTTATATTTTTTGCATTAAGATTTTATTTTTTATATATATTATAATCCATAAATAATTATATTTTATTCATTTATAATTAAAAATAATAATAGTAATAATAAAATAATAATAATATGATCTGGTCTAGTTTGGTCTGTTTTAGTCTGGTCTGATCTGGTCTGGTCTGGGACGAATTACAGTCCAACTAAAAACAACCTAAATAATATTTTTTACTATTTTATACTTCGTACAATACATTTGGGTTAAAAATTGATGAGGTGTTAGTCTCTTATTTTATACAAATACATTTGGGTTAAAAATTGATGAGGTGTTAGTTTCTTATTGGCTAATAAAAGATTTATAATCATTACTACTAAAACATTTAATTAATCCAAGATCACTCAGTGCATCTCTGCTATTCACTTGGTACATAAGTGCTATTCTTATTAATCACGTCAACTAATTTGGAGAAAGTGCAGGAGAAAATATATTTTAACGTGCTATAAATTTTTGCTTGTACTCCAATCTTTACGAAAATTATATCAAAACTCATTGATCTTTCATATGTCATCAATATTGCATATATAAAAATAAAAATATATTATTTTATATAATAAAATGTAGTTATAAATCAGTAATGTGTTTGTTTGTTATTAGTTAATGAATTTTATTATCACTGCTAATATAACATTTAATTAATTCAAGTTCACTTGGTGCTTCACTGCTATTTACTCGATGCATCATTGATTCACTTTAATCACGTCAACTTATTTAGAGAAAGGGGAAGAGATTTTTCCTTCTTTTTTTGTACTTCAATTTTTATAAGAAATGTATCAAAATTCATAAGTTTTGTAATCTTTCATATTAAACCAATATTGCATAAATAAAAAAATATTATTTTTATATAATAAAATTGAAGTATGAATCAATGATGTGTGAGTCTTATATTAGTTAATAAAAATTTCATTATCACCACTACTAAATCATTTAATTAATCTAAGTTCACTCAGTGAATCACTGCCATTCACTCGGTGTATCACTGCTATTCACTCGGTGCATCACTGCTATTCATTTTAATCCAATCAACTCATCCGTGCATCACTCCAAATTTAACAAAACATATATATAAAAAATCGTAAAATTTTATGATATTTTCACATGACACCAAATTACATATATATAAAAACTATTGTAATAATTGAGCTATAAATCAATGATATATACTCCGAAATATCTATAGTAAATTTTGAGCGTAAATGTGCATTATGGGAAATGCACATTTACACAATAGTCATGACACATGTAATTAATCCAAATTTCATTAAATATTTAAATTTATTAATTTATTTAGTAAATTGGGATTTCAAACTGCTAACATATATGACACTGTATTAGTGACAGTATTCATAAATAGTTCACACTATAATGTACGCTCGATTTTGATATATTTCAAATATTTTTAAATAATGAAACTTTAATTCACATGGACGGGACTCTAATCGTACAATATCAATAATACACGTGAATATCCAAAATAATGTAAATTATAAATTCTACATATTACCAATTCCAATTTAACGCTTCTTCTTATGATTCCTTATCATATAATTAGCCCTATAATTAGTGGAATATTCCACAGGGGTGGTTAGTCCTATAATTAATAACTTTTACAACAATAAGCACATAAACCAAAATTATAACCACAAATTAGTACTCCAAAAGATGGTGATTCTTCATCTGCATTTCATGGTGGTGGTTAGTTCATAAAAGCAATTATCAAAATTTTGATCATATTTTATGGATAGTTTACCATGTTTAATTTATTTCACCTGACTCATGTCAAATTAACACTACCGGGGCATGCCCCGGGTGTTACACTAGTTTTTTACTATTTCTAAGCATCACTTAAACTACTAAAAAAGCATCATTGAAATTCGCTTACTTTAAACTCCTTTTATAAAATAGAAATTAATCTAAATAGGACTAAAACTATGGTAAAAACTCAAAATAGGACTTACTATGTTTTTCTTTTCAAAATAGGACCATATTAGTTCTATTGGAAACATACCTATTTTTTCATTCCATTCTTACCCTTCCTTTAAATATGAGTTAATTAAATGTTTAATTTATAATAAATTCGAAAAAATTCAAAAATTCGTAGAAAAATAAATAAAAAATTTATAAATATTTATAAAAAAAAACAAATTTAAAAAACAATTTTATTTAATTTTTTATTTTTTTGAAAATTAATAAAAAATAGTAAAACTACATTAAAAAAATTAAAAAAATATGGATGCTGTTGAAGGTAAGTCCCGTAGATCCGAAAGTCCAACACGAACTTTGGATATATCAGGAATGGTCCAGAATCAAAGTGTATAACCAAATATAAAATATGAACTCACTGACACTCAAAAGCTCACTTGTATTAATTAACCAGTCTGATTACAAGGAAATTCCCGATCGCTAGGTCGGAATTATGCTTTAATACAAGAAATAAGAGCAATAATGCTATTCTAGAGCCTGAGTATTGAAATGCTAACCCTTACAATGATTTTAAACCTTCTATTTATACTAATGGAGAACATGGGCTACTCTATGCTGATTGGCTGTTGTTCCACCGACTTGGTCACCCATGTTTCCACTTGCTGATGTCACAATCTGGCATTAATTGCACCTGGCCACTTGCCGGTTGTCCGTTGCTCGAACAGGATGTTGGACCATGCTGAAGACGCTGTCAAATTGGCCCAAGTATGATATATAGTCCGAACTCCGTTCGGTATATCTTCTTACTGGGCCAACCTTTTTTTTGGGCCGAATCTCGTTCGGCATGAATTCTTCACTGGATCTACTCATCATAGAGTGATGGGCTCGTCGTTTGGGCCGGGTATCTTGGGCCTTCTTGATCCGGGTATTGGGCCTCTGGATCAATATCCCAACACAAGTCCCCCACTTCCGATGTCTCGAATGACAGTGAGTACATTAGGAAGTATGAACACCAATGTTGCAATTCGCCGAATGGCGATCAGGGTACAGAAGTAGTCAGTTCCCCATACTGTGATTTGACGGCTGTCGTTTTATTTTCCCATACTCATCATGATAACCGTCGTTTAGTCTTTTCATTGGACATGCGTTTAGCTTAAATGCTTCTGATGACGTGTCGCTTCCTGATTGGTCCTCGATACGGCAATTTAAAGGCTATAAATTAGCCCTTAACCTTTCAAATCCGGGTTTCCATTCTGCAATCTCCCTCGCATCGTTGCTCCCTCTGAAATTTCTCCCAGCTTTCGTCGCTTAGGTACCTTTCCTCCCTCTATTTTTTCTCCTCATTTCTGGCTCGGTCGAGATGAGTTCTCAACAGCATTCTCCTGATTCGGAGATGGCCTCCCATGGAGATGACCGTGACGCTGCTATTGTGGATGTCATCACAGTCCCATTCGCCGGTGGTTCTACTGAAACGGCGACAAATACTAGGGCTGAGGCGGAGGACCTTCCTAGCACTTCATCTTCCTCTGGTGAAAGCTCTGATGGCACAAAATCCGAGGATGAAATGGATTTAATGGCGACTGGACGGCCAAAAGATGTCCCCCGTCATTCCCTCGACCTAGGTTTAATTAGGGCAAGACGGCAGAAATTGACTGCCAATAATAGGGCCGAAATTCCGGCCCTAATCCCAGACCCAGTGGACTTTCGATTGCAAGCTGGGCTTCATCCCCTGCGTCACGCCCCTGGGATGATCGTGGTCCATTTTGATTCAGTGAGGGCTGGGCTTAGATTTCCGTTAAATCCCTTTTTTATTTCATTTTTTAATTTTTATGAAATTGTACCTGCCCAAGTCATGCCGAACTCCTATCGGGCAATGGCGGGCTTTATCTGTCGTTGTAAAGATGTCGGTGCTTCGCCGACCTTAGATTTATTTCATCAATTTTTTAAAGTAGCCCCCCAACAAACTTGATGGAGTATATGGCCCGGGAACACCCGGCCCACAGACTCCTACTACTCCAATGGAAGCCCAACAGGCCCAGAAGGCCCAACAGGCCCAAATCACGGCGCCCAGAGTACCAAGCAGCCCGCAATACGCACCAGGGGTGCCTTCGGCCCCCTGGCCGAAGGCTCCAAACTATCACAGTGTGGATATTTCGAACAAACAGAGGAACTGGGAGAAAACGGCGAAAACAGTAGCCCTCGGCACCTGGAGCCCTCGGCACTCAGGGGTCCTCGGCACTAAGAACCCTCGGCTAGTCCTCTGCAGCGGAGGGCACCTCTCCCGACATGATATCCGCCTCACATGCGTACAGATCACTGTACCCTGTACAGACATCCCATCCAACAGCCGCATTAAATGCGGCCACATGCGGCTGCCAAACGCCAACCAGTTGAGGTGACCTCTCGGCCAATAGGCGCTTGACACGTGTCCCTGTCCGGCATTTATTGCTACTATAAATAGCACCCCATTTCCCCATTTGTAACCACGCTGAAAACGCTCCACATTTATAATACACTCTCTCTCTCTACATTTATTTGCTCTGACTTCTCTCTAAGTTATTCCCAGCAATAACCCGTCGGATATATACCCCCCGGGTAGACTATCCATCATTTGGTGCTCTCGTTGAGAGGTCGAACAATCAAGTAAGAAACCCTCCCCCTTGACCAAACACAAAACACCTAGCTAAAATGGTGAGAACTACTCGTGCCAACTCCA